AGACAGAAATTCGAAGTGCTCTAGCTATTATGCCCTTTGGGCTCCAATACATAACTATTTGCAGATGTATACAAGCATAGATGATTGCTGTGTAAGCTTCCTCCAAGCCACAAATCTCCAAGCTCCAAATGTTCTCTAAGGGCTCGGTCCGCGGCAGCAGAACGCCGAAGCGCACGCGCTTGCGGCCCAGCTGAAGCAGCTCGGGCTCCAAGAGCCGGATGATGGCCTGGTCCAGGTCAGCCAAGTCGACCTGTTTTGGTGATTTCAATATTTGAGATCAACATATCCCTAAACCTATTTGACATCTACAGTGTGTCTATTTGGCATGTCCAGCGACGGAATCAAAAAACAACAGTTTGATACCTTTTTGCCTTACCCTGCTCTTGTTGAGTCACTTGGTATGAACAAAGCAGCTGACCTACAATCCCTGAAATCATGAATGGATAGGTCGAGTTCACCACCTGTTTGGTATTGGGGGAACCGTCATCGTTTCAGGGCCCTGGCATCCACTTCCATTAGTATTTTCACGGAGGGACACTTGGGCGTTGTGGGACAGAGCCACACAAACATGAGATCAAGCAGGGATGTCGGAAAAGACGCAGCTGATTCCTCAGCTGAGGACTTCAATCTTTCTCTTGCAACTCGTGGATCATGGTTTTCTACCTCTGAATGGCACAGACCTAGTGTGACAGACCAGGGCCACCCAACCACAGCAAAACCACACCAAAACCCATCGCGTTTTGGGTCTCACCTGGGTGAGGCTCACTGTCGGCGTCCCACGTTCCAGCGGAAGTCCAGTGATGCTCATGGAGATCCCCTCGTCGAACTGGACGCTGTTGGGCCTTGGCGGCTCAGCAGTGGGTGGGTGGGTGGGTGGGTGGGTGGGTGGGTGGGGTGGGAGCCAACGACCCATGTGTGTCGCTGCTGGTCATCACGATATGAGTCACCAGACATGTCGCTTGCTTCGGGTGATCAGGCGGGGGAAGTTCCTGTTGCTGTTAGGAAAAATGTCTCCAATAGGCCTACCAATTGTCATACTAATACCTCTGAATCACTGGTTTCAAGTCGCACCTTCCTGTGGAGAGTCCATCAGAGTAGATGGCACAATCCCCAAAAGGTGGTTATTTGGACCCCGATGAAGTTTGAAAAACACCTCTTTCGTTTGTGCAATCTACTCTGCAACCAACAGAGAATCGACTGCCGAGGCACAAAGAGATCAACATGGCTTTGATCTTGCCTTGCTCCACTGTCATCTCCTGTGTGGTTTGGAACCCAACAACTGGAAAGGAACGCAATGTATTCTTTCCAAGCGAGGTGGCACAAAGTTCGCCTAAACATCCTAGGTCTTCCAAAACACCCTCTCTTGGATGAAAGGTCTGCCACAACACCCTCTCTTGGCCCATCTCCGTCAGATCTGCGGTGTCTGCGGTGCTCCTGGTCGACTTGGAAGCTCAACTCGACCACGGCGGCTGCGACGGTCGCTTGGCGCTCCAGGTTGCGCAGGAGCATCGTGGGAGCTTCGCGGACCTGAAGTAACACAGAGTCAGCGGGAAGGAGCATCCCTTGTGAAGTCGATGGAGGTCTATGGAGGGTCTACTTCTCCATTCATATGGGGTCTACCTCTGGGATTCATCACGTGAAGCATCGCTGTAGCCAATCCCAAGATCCATTGATGCACCGTTCCAAAACTCAACAACATGTCTCATCATTCTTGGAAGACCTCCCCTTCCCATCCTCAACCCTGCACAACAATGTCACACATTTTGACACCCTCATCTTGGAAAAATAATGAAACATATAACACCTTCTCCGGCCTTTCCATCCGAAACCCCTTCGAACCCCCCCTTCACGCCCCGAACGCCCCATCGATCGCTCCGAGCTCGCTCGCTCGCTCGCGACGCTCAGCGACCGGCCAGTGCTGGTGCTCGCTCAGCGCTGGCACCGTCACTTGCGTCGCCGCATCCACCAAACGCTGGTTCTCATCGTAGACTTCCACCCGGAAGAGGTCTGGTGGATCCTCTACCGGAGTGAGGTGGAGGGAGATGGGAGGAGATATATATATGGCACAAGTGGTGTGTGTTGGTGTGTTGATGTGTAGAATTTGGGGGAGAGGGGGGGGGTTAGCCGCATTTTTGGGTTGGGAGCATGCGTGTTGGGGGTGTTTCTGTTGTTGGATACGTTCTTTTGTGGGGGTTGTTGGATGTTGTTGTCCTGGGAGGTCCGTCTTGTGTTGAGCACAAGACAAGAAAGTACATAGATGTACGTAGTTCAAAACACAAACAAGCGTCTCTGGCATCGTTTGGGTTCAGCGTGGTGCAGCGCAATCACGCTTCAGAAACAACTAGACTATATTGCAAATGTCCTGCTGTCTGCAAGCATTAAAGGCTAGGAGTGCCAAAGGTTGATGTTCCCAGAAAATGGTTCCAACATGTTCCGACCAAGTAGCTGGAGGGAATCGTTCTGAATACTAAAGTGAGAGCAAATACATTCCGCCTGAAAGATTCTTTCCATCAAGCATGTGCAGAAAGAAGACCTGTGGTGCGCCTGTCTAGACTGCTGGTCCTAAATGCACTGCAAAAAACTTCATTCGACATGTGTTTCACATCCCGCCCACAGGATCCATGAAACACACTTACACCTGGGAAGATTAACATGGAACCTGAAGACATGGACCAGACTGGAAGACTATTTTCCTCTACAACCCGACGTGTTTTTCAGGTTGCATGTTAATTTTGCAGAGTGCACCTGCCTGCAAGTATTGAAATATATTGAAATGCCTAACCAAATGGACGCAAAATGAACCTTCTGCTTCCCGCGACTTGGAAGTCGCATGCCAGAATACTTCGATGATTTGACCTGTCGAGGAAAATCAAGGCACTCAGTGCAACAAGGATCCAAGAGACCAAAAAGCAACCCCAATGGACAAATAGATATGACACAGATCCTCCAAAAGATTATAGACACATCATATCATGAATCATATCAAGTGGAACGGTACATCTTCTTTCCCACATATCGCAACTTCCATGTTCCCTTCCATCAATGCAAGGATGTTCTCCGGCTCCTCGTCAGGCAAGGCCACAGACAAGCTGATCAGCCAAAAGCCCACAGGCACTGGCTGAGCCAATAACACCTCCAGCAGCCGTTCAAACGTTTAGAAATGAGAACCTGCAGGGTGTTGACCAGTCCACTTAGCATTCATCAACATAATCTATATGATATACATTGATGAATCACCTTGGATGGATCAGTTGGATGGAAACTGTTGGATGGATCAGTTTATTATATGTTATTGACATATATTGACGGTTGCTTCACATTGGATGAACAGCGCCCCCCTGATCCAGAATGGTTTGTACATCTCCAGGAAAGTATGATTCATCAACAGCCATCAACAATCGAATCTACACAGTTCTACAACCATCCTGGAGTAGATCGAATATGAACCAACCCCCAAACAGGACCAGTCTCTTAGTGGCTTTTCGATTTGTCCACATTCTATCTACTCCAAAGCCTCCATGATTTGCATCTGGGATTCAACGGTCTATATAGTAACCGGTGAGATCAGGGTGCCCCACACACAAAAAGCATCGCTCCTTCGAGCTCCCTGGGTCCCTAGCCTCGCTCCGCGCGGTCGCCTCAGTTCGGTTGTCCTCGTCTCGACAACTGGGCCCGAAGCGCCGCAGGGACATCGGCCAGCGGGGCGCGCCGCGCACCAGAGAGCCGTCGGGGTCAGCGCAGGTCAACCTGTGGAGGGCGGTGTGCGGTGTGCCTAACCCGTGGAGGATCCATGGGACAGTTTTCATATGAAAAACCCATTGTATGATGAACTTAGGCGATCAACAAAACCCAAACCCACGCAAGTAGGCCATGCATACTGTAGGCCATCATTTGCTGTCCCATGGAGTGTCTGGACTAAAACTTGATGGGACGAGCTGTTCAGATCAGGCCAGGGGTGAGCTGTTCAAATCTTTCAAGGGCCCGTTGGATGGTCGTCGTTCGGGTGGAAAGGGTGGGTTCATGTGGGTTCGGTTTGGTCAAGGAGGTTGGAATGAAGATGACGCCTCACCCAACGACCAGGTGGGGAGATGGAAGCCAAGATCAGCAAGCTGTGGATACTTGTTTGAGGAGGTGAAACGATAATTTTCAGGAATAGTAGGGGGTTCTTGCTCTTCTTTATCTTCTTTCAAGAATCCATGTGTTGAAGTGAAGACTATATAATGGTGCCTTGAACTAATCATACTGATGCAGTAGTTCTTCTCTTTCTTGGGGAACGTGGACTTTGTTGGACAATTCAAAAGCCAAAGCCAACACGATCGCGCGTCCTTGTTGATCACAAACAAACGAACTCATCATGAAGCATCAACGACCTGATTTAAGGTGCACAAGTGCACAAAGAAGAAACATGAAGAGGATCTCAGAACTGAGTCACGCCTTCTTTCAACGATTGGCCTACTGAACTGCCCCTTCTCATGTTCACACATCTCCGAAGTCCCGAGGTGTGGCTCGGAATGCACTGTCCCGAGGTGTGGCGCTGTGCTCATGATGCTTTCGACACCACGGAAGGGGGGCACACAAAAGGTGGCTTATTGATCTGCTCTCCGCAGTGGTTGTGCAAATCCAAGTTTCGGTGCTGCTTGTGGTTCCCAAACACATGGGACCCTAGACACATGCGACCCAAGACCTCGGGTCCCAAGGCACTCTCCAAACACATGGCAATTTGAGGCATTTTAAGGAGGCTGTATATTTTAGAGCTTTACATTACATGGATCCCCATGAATCTTGTATCCGCTTGGTGCCATCATCTCCTGCAACATGTTAACACTTTTCTGTTCTTTCCTGCCGTGCCTGCCATAGGTCGAAGGAGGCTGGATGCGAATCGACTTCACAGGGGTTTCCTTGGAAAAAGCAGCCAAAGACAGCTGGCAGATCAACATCTGAACCCAGTTTCTCCCCAGAAAAGGCCAGCTCCGACGAACACCTCACACGCATACGTGATGTTACTTGGATGGCATGGATGAAAATGATCTCTTGGAAGACGACTGTCCTCCACAAACCCAAGAGGGGGTATGAACTCCCCTTCCAGGTTGGTGGAGTTGGAGTGTCTCTTCGACCCAAACCTACCAGATTACCTACCAAATACCTAGCGAATCAGCTCAGGGGAGACTCTCCAAATCGACGAGGAGGATCCCTCAGACAAGGACTGCCAAACAAGGCGAAATGTCTCATGATCATCTGACCAGGCGAGCCTTCTGACCTCAACACAACCGTTGGCACATGTATTGCACCATAGCCACATCAAACACTTCTGTCAGCCCTAGAGGGCCATGCCAAAGAACTGACTTCGAGCTAGCCTTAACCTGCTGCTTTCACCCTCTTGTTTCACCCTCTTGAGCTGCGTTTCTTGGTCCAAGCGCAGCGTGAGGATCAGCTCCGTCGACCTGCATGGATCGGTTCTGCTGCACAATGGCTTCGATCGCAGGGCAGGGACAGCTTCGGCGGGTTGTATGCATGTCACCTCACCACATCCCATCATAAGAAGGAATTTAAGAAGGTAAGTGGGTGTGGACCTAAGACCCTTCAACCAGCCCATCATAATAAGTGGGTGTGGACCTAGGACC